TTTTTTAAAATCTAATGTGTGGATCACATAATATTTCAAAAATTTTAACTTTTGAGTATAGATGATCCGCACTGTATTCTTTCTATTACTTGAATTATTTACTAAAATTTTCCCTTATATGGGTATTTTCTGTATTTCGGAGCATGGTTATTTTTCTAATGCGGCTATACAGCACGCTCAAGGATCTCGTTATAATTTGCTGCTTACTTCATCGAATCAAATTCTAGAGATATCAAGAGATTTTGTGTAGGTCCTCAGGGGTTGATTTGTAAGGAGGTTTCGAAGGAAGTTTTAAAGATTCAGGAAATTGAAGAATAGGGAAGAAGGGAAATACTATTAAATCAGGAGGAGGTTTTGAGGACGAATGATTGTTTAGAGAGGGAAATAAAGGATTTAAATAGGAGAATGCTTGGGTTTGAAAGGAATCTTCAGGAAAGTAGAGAAGAGGATAGAGTTCGTGATAAAGATAGGAAACAACGAGATTCTAGATGTTTTTGGGCTTTTATTTTGGCTTTTATTTCTATTATGACTTACTTTTATATATTGCTGTATATATTTACATTATATAAATAAATATATCAATTATCATGCTAATGTAGATAGATAACTGTGAGCTTCAATGACCACACCTATTCTTTGGGCTCGCAATTACTATCATTATCCTCATTATTACAATTAAATAAAATATTACTGCTACTTGAAAAATCATTATTTCTACTACTACTAATAACAACTGGATTATCTTTTTTCTGATTTTTTAAATTTTCCTTGGTGAAAGTGACCTGTGAGTTCCTGACCATTAGTCAGGATGTTACATAATTTTTATTTAAAATTAAGGCATTAAGACGTGTGCAGTAAAATTCTTTTTCCGAGTATTTGTAATAAAGTTGTATAAATTAATATCAAACATGCAAGATCAAAAGGGATTAGATTTATTAAAACTGGAGTTGGAGCAAATAACAAAAGAAAGAAATATGCTTGAAGCTGAGATTATGAAGCTAAAACAGATTATAGAAGAAAATGCTAAACGTGAAGCCAAGGGTATTAACCTTACATCAGTAATATTTTGAGCTTAAGGACCCTCAGGGTTTCCTTAAAATGCTACAGAATCCTTAAAGGATCCTTAGTTTTTGTAGATCTTTCAAAATTTTTAAATTTCTTGGATCTGTAAGGATTCTTTGATACAAAATTTACAAAGATCCTCAAGGAACCTTGGTAGTCAAATCAATTAAGCTTATAAAATTAAACTTTTTAAATAAATATGTACACTTTTTTAAATTTTTTTTTTTAAATAGACTCTAATGTTTAAAAATATTTCAAATAAACTTGAGCAATTGATAATTCCTGAAGATACTTAACAATCTTTAGAAACTTGCACTAAAAACATTTAAAGCTCAATTATCCAACCTTGGTCTCTATCCTGATGATTGAGAATTTAAAACTTGTTTTGAAGCAATGTTCAATCATAGTTTCAGAAGATTTGATAGTTGAGGACAGCAATGATAATGACGGTAGTAGCAATAGTAATTTTGTTAATGATAATATCAATTATGATATAACTATCAACAACATTGTCCTCAATAATAATAAAAGCAGTGGTGATAGTAATTTTTCAGATATAAGTGTTACTTCTGATACTCCTTTAAGGATAACGGAGCTGACTGAGGAGAATGAAAGTGAAGAAGGGTTATGATAGAATTGGAATTAAACAAAGGTAGCAGCATGAGGTGTTATACTTATGGTGAAGAGGTACCTGATCTTCCTAGCAATTTGGTTGTCATTAACAAAAATACAGGTCAAGGCAATAAAAATAAAGGCTTGTTAAGCGACGAAGCATTAGAGTTAATAATAATTGGTATTGGAAGCAAACCATTTGTTATTATTTTAAGTAACTGATCGATAACAATTTTATTATTATAGTAAACTTATTAAAGTGGCTAATGGAATATTGGAAGAGCATCAAAATTATGTGCCAATAAAAATATGTGAAGCTTCATCCAATTACAATTGATTTGGTTCATGGTTTTTCTCAATTCCTTGATTAATCTTATCAATTTATTTGTTAACACTTTTTCTTTTTCTAATGGTACTGATGCTAGAGAATTTATTTGTAGGATTGATGTGATCCTTTCGATAGTTTCATCTTTTCTGATGTTTGCTTTTTGCATTTACAGGATGATTGTTGACGATCCTTATCAATTTCGCTTTTGACCAAAACAATTTTAATTCTGTTGATGGTATTTATTAATAGATATTTGTACACCAAAGAAAAAATTTGGGTACTATCGAAATTTACAGACATGCAAAAATCATTATTGAACAATCAAAGGACATCAGGATGAATACTATAAAAATTTCCAATCTTGATCATCTTTATTGTTTAGAATATTAAAATACCATTTGTTCCATCTTTGACTGAGGCAAAAGTTGTACACGATGGTTTGGTTCATAGTTTTCCATCCGCTTTGTTGGTGGAAGGTGATGTTATTGAAATGATATATGGTGACATCGCCCCTTGTAGAATAAAAGTGATTTCTCAGGATCTTAGCAGTGATCTCAACAATAAGGAACAAGATAATAAGGAACGTCATCACAATCACAACTAAGGTTGCGGGAGAAACTCCTCCAGAAATCAATCGACAGAGTTTCGACAGGTTACACATTAATTGTTTATTAGAGTTTCGGCAGAGTTTCGCATTTGGGGTTTTCGCCAATCATCAGAGTTTCGACAGGTTACACATTAATTGTTCATTAGAGTTTTGACAGAGTTTCGACAGTCATTAAGAGGTTTCGCCCACAACCTTAGGTTCAACTAATTCTAAATCAGGATTATCTTTCAACCAGCATACTTCTGACCAACACAAAGAGTGATCTCCAGAAAGGTGTGAAACTAAACCATTCACTTGCACATTCTTCAATTCTTCTTCTGTTGGAGTTATCATTTCCTTTGATGCTTTTCTTGCAGAAGCAGCATATACACAACTACAAAAGTATTTCATAATTGGCTGCTCAAAGGTATTCCACTTTTTGTTTTTAATTATCTTTCCTCTGATGATTTTAGTTGCATGTTTTAAATCACCATACACTTTATTAACCACTCTTTCTGTTTTTAATGTTTTGTTGCTATCTAAATCTCCATCAACACCTATATCTAATAATATATTTTCTTCATCTAAAATAGGTGTTATTTTTTCTAAACAGGCAATCAAAATGGCATGTTCCATCTGTCTACTAGCTTTATCAAAATTTCCCTTATGAACTTCATGTATTTTATCTTCACCTTCGCATGAAATTTTAATGAATCTTGATTTCTCAATTACATGAAATACAACAACTGGTTTTGATGAATAGCCTGGCAGTTCACCTTGGAAAATAAATTCCCCAGTTGCTTGGTTAGCATTTCTAACGTGAGACCAAGAAACATCAAAGCTCACTGGTAAAATATTTTTATTATTCTCTTTCAAGATTTTAATGGTAGCTCTTAATGCCATTTCAGCACTAATTTCTGCTTCTTCAATCAGATTTTTAAAAAATCTTTTTTGATGTTCGTGAAAAGTTTTTTTACAAGTATGAGATGTTATACCAATGGTGCTCAAAAAAGTTTCACATTGTTGTCTATTTATCCCTGATAATAAACTACCACCAGCTACTAGAACAGATGTACTTGCCTTTGGTGTATCATTAGAAAATTCAGAAATGTTATTACAGCATCCACAACATATAATGGTGTTTACCGAAAAACCTACATTGTTGATTACACAATTTTTATTATCAATTGAAATATCACCACAATTATGGCAAGGTTGTGATAATAGTGCACTGACATAATTACAAGTATCAACTATTATTGTAGAACCCACTTGTGATGAATTGATTGCCTGAGTAGCTAATTCTTTGATTTTTAACTGTCTTTCATAATCTAATGTATTTTTTTCACTCAATTTCTCTTGTAGTTTGGTGACAGTTTCCATAGCACGCTTATATTTTTTTTTTTCTTGATGAAACAAACGATCTCTCTCCCTGAATTTGACAAGAGCAGCCTGTGCTTCTGTTGGAGTAACATTTATACCCTTACTCTTAATAATAATTCCTTCTTTGATATTGGTTTGATTTTCGTTAATATTATTATCATTTTCTACTCCTGATTCAATTTCTTTGATAAGTTGGTCACCTTTCCTTTTCATTGCATTAATTAATGTATTTGTTTTTTTTGTTGCAGTTTGAATTTGTTTACAATCATTAAATATAGAGGGATAGTGGTGGCATATCTTATTATGAAGAAATTCAACATTTTCTTTAATATTCAAACCAAGAAGATTAGGTGTAGACCATTTGCCCTTTCTTTTTTTTTGTATATAATCATTGAAGGTGTTGAAAAAATGTGTACCCGAGTAAGAATGTTCTTCTGATGTTAAAGTGCTATCATTGCCATAATCATACCAAGCAAAATACAAAAGATTCTGTTCATTTTTTTTAATAGTAAAACAAATATATGATCCTCCAATATTTGTAATAATTGAATATCCAGGAAGAATTGGTACATATGTTTTTTGATCTATGTCTATATCACATCCTTCAACTGTAAGTAAATTATAATAATTATTCTCTGGAGTCTCTGTAATTTGTAAGTTATTATGGTATTCCAATACTTCCAAATTTGAAGAATCATCCCGAATTAACCAGGTTCTATTAGGACGCCTTAACAGTTTATAATTAGAGTTATTATTACAAAGAGTATTATACCACTTACCATGTGAACTCATTAGAAGTAAATTTTTGAATATTATTATAACGCTAAAAAAAAAATATATATATATATATATATATATAAATATTGTTTTTATTATAATGTTAAAAAAAAATGTATTTATTTGTAATATAAATATAATTTTATTTTTATTAAATAGAAAATTTACTATTGTTATGTTTTACTAAGGTATCCGCAAATTGTCTTTAACTTTACAAGCTTTTTTTGAAATAACCTTCTAACAACAAAAATTTTTTTTTATTACTATATGATTGGATACATGCTGAAAATGGATTTCGTGATAATTTTCGTGTCATGAAAACTATTTTTTAGTGTAGCTATGTACGTGTCAAGTGATTTAAAAGTGGTTCGGGAATTATTTATCCTC